TCTTTCTTTCTTTCTTTCTTTCTTTCTTTCTTTCTTTCTTTCTTTCTCTCTCTCTCTCTCTCTCTCTCTCTCTCTCTCTCTCTCTCTCTTTCTTTCTTTCTTTCTTTCTTTCTTTCTTTCTTTCTTTCTTTCTACTGCACAGATGAATATGCTTCTAGTTGTACATTGTCCTTTGCATTTCTGAGGTAGAATTGAAAAATGTTAAAAAGTTTCAGCCAAAGTGGACAATATAGGGTTAAGAGCATTGGACTAGGATTAGGAAGATGTAGATTAACAGAATAAATGAGTTGGAAGGGACCTTGAAGGTCTTTTAGTCCAACCCCTTGCACTAGTAGGAGAACCTATATCATTCTGGACAAATAATTGTCCAATTTCTTCTTAAAACCCACAATATCTGGAAGCAAGTTTTTACACTGATTCAGTTGTTCTCACTGTCATGAAATTTCTCCTTTTTTCTAGGTTGCTTCTCTCCTTGATTAGTTTCCATCCATTGCTCCTTGTCCTGCCCTCAGGTGCTTTGGAGAATAGATTGACTTCCTTTTTTTTTGTGGCAGCCCCTGAGATATTGGAACACTGCTATCATGTCACCCCCTAATCTTTCTTTTATTTAAACTAGACATACCCAATTCCTGCAACTATTTTTCATATATTTTAGCCTGCCATCCCCTAATCATCCTTGTTACTCTTCTCTGCACTTCTTTCTAGAGCCTCAACATCTTTTTTATATCATGGCAACCAAAGCTAGATGCAATATTCCAAGTGTGGTCTTACCAAGGCATTATAAAGTGGCACTAACACTTTACATAATCTTGATTCTATCCCTCTCTTACTGCTGCCTGTACCTGAGCATTCATAAAGCTCATTCGGTTAACTGGGGCAATCACACTTACTCATCCAACTTATCATGATGCAAGAATCACATTGGAATGAAATTCTGCACAGACCCTTTGAGATCCTGGATGGAGGGGAGTACAAATACCAATAACAATATTAACTTTTATGATAGATATAATTATTATCATACTGAAACAAGAGCTCTGGTCTCTTCTAAACCTGTTTGCTTTCCCTCCAAATTTTCTACCTTGCAATATTTTATACACATGCATGCACAAACGCAGTTGCACACAAACACCCAAGATTCATTTGCTTTCTTTTTCATTCTATGTACAAATTTATAAAGAGGTTCAGCTTGTGTTTTGTTTTTTGCTTGATGATTGATGACTCCTCTTTCTCTCACAAACTCATCGTGGCTGCCAGATTCCAAAAACCAGCAAAGACTTTTTGAGATTCTCTAAGCAATTTCCTTTATTGTTCCTCACCTGCCAAACTTAAGCAGGCTATTTGCACCATAAAATGTAGCATCCTCTGGAAACTATTAGGGAAAAGCCATCTTCTCCCACACAAACTATCTAAACTCTGCTGTCTCTTGTTATTTGGAATGTGCTCCTGGGAATCCAGATTACATTCCATTACAGAGGCATATAGTATGTAGTTCTTTTTCTAAATTTCTTCACAAGAACCACCCTGTGAATTAGCCAATCCCTGAAGCGCATTCGCCCATTGAGTTTCCATGGGTGGAGGTAAATTTGAATCTGGGCCTCCCCAGTCCTAGCCCACTATACCATGTTGGTTTAATATTGCCTCCATAAGTTAAAATATTTTGGTGTAAGGATGAAATGATTATTGCATATAGCAGTAGTTCTCAAACTTTTCTTTACCCCAGACTCCCTTTAAATATCTTTTGTGGCTATGGATCATAGTCTAGGACCCCCAAGACTTAACTCAAGATTGAAATCATAACATTTTTTTCAAGCCTTCACCCTCCACTCCCAGTGACAATATTGGGGTGGGGGGCTCCCAGGGTCCATGGATAACAGTTTGAGAACAACTGGTATAAAATATTTACACAAAAGGAAATCCGTGCTCTTATTTGTTCTGTTGATGAAGATTCTCAGTCATCCATATAGAGTTTCCATGATTCAAATGCCAAACATTTGTTCTAATTGTTGATCAATATATCATAGCCATATTTATCAACATAATGTTCTTTAGGTGCTTCAAATTACAACTGCTATCAGTTCCAGCCAACATAATCAGTCAGACCGATGAGAACTGTAGCTCTAAATAATTGTAAAGCCCATGTCTGAAGAAGGTTATATTACAGAATAAGATTTAATTAAAGTAAGTTTTAACAGTTTTTGGTTAAACCAAATCTGTGGGCCTGGTCAGAGCTGACTTGGTCTTTGAGAAGTATGCCAAAGAGGCCATGACAAAGTTTAAATCTTATTTAGCTTTAATTAATTGTCTATATTTTATATGATGATACAGGCTATTGTACATAACATTAGTAGAGATGGAGTAAAGAGGAAATGGTACAGCACAGCCACATTAATTGAATTTTTAAGATCCTTAAATTATTTATCTTGGGTTCTGCAACCTCTTTTGTTATTCCCCACTTTTATTACTACAATTGATCATGTTTTATAAAGTGAGCATGCATAATTAATATTTCAATTTATCAATTCAAGAGCATCCACACTTTTTTGCATATAGACATTTCTAGAGCTATCCTGTTAATTATTGATATGCAAATTGGTTTTGTCCCAGCATTTCTGAGAGTCTGAACTTCTCTGTCTCTAATTATGATACATTTTGAGTCATTTGATGGACGCTGACCTGTTGGCCTGTCCTGTCTCCCTCAGTCGGATCCCTTGAGGTCCTCTTTGTAAAAATGTAACCCTCCGCCTGTTAGAATTTCCCAAAGTCTAACTTTCTCTATGTCCAGACCTATTTGCTAGCAACCATGCTCTCCATTGCCCAGCTAGAATAAGACTAAATGTTAGAAAAACAATGCTTGTCCTGAGAAAGATCCCAGTTCTATCATTTTGCCCCTTATCTGTAGTTTTTTTTAAATTATGATTTTTGTTTATTTTCCTGCAGTGCACTAGAATTGTAGTGCTTCAAGGCTTAGTTCCTTTATAAGACATTTTCACAATTGAATTTACTTTACTATCCCACTTAGTTGATCCATAGGATGATTTTCCATATATAAATTGTTGCTAAGTTTGAAAGAGAAATAGCATCTAAAAGCATGACCGGTTGGAGTTCAAGGTCAGATTTCCTTGTATTTTAGTTTAATTAAAATTAATGAACTAACTCATACATTGACATGGGATTTAGCTACAAAATAATAAGATTTAACATCATCATAAAAAGGTAGGCGGATATTTATTTGATATTTATTTATTAGCTACAGAGGCTTTGCCCTGAATGATAAGGGAAAGGATTCCATGCACAGGTTCTTTTTTAAAGCACAGTTTGGGTAAATTAGTTTTAGCTGGTCAAATTTGCTCTGATGAAAAATGGCAACAGGGAATTCCATGGCAGGTTGATACAGATCTATTTTTACTTTCGTTTTTCAGGATTTGTTGGCAGGATGAATTTAGAAAGAGACTCTGAAACGACCTTTGAGGAAGACTCTCAGCCCAATGATGAGGAGGTCCCATATAGCGATGATGAGACGGAAGACGACCTGGACACTCAACCTGACGTTGAGCCAGAACAAAACTATATTAACAGAGAAGTGGAAGCAACTCGAGAGACGCTTCGAAAAGGTGAGAATGCAAGAAATTATTAGCAAAGACTAGTGATTATTTTGAAGGATTTCCCCCCTCCTTTTATAATAGAATAGAATAACAGAATTGGAAGGGACCTTGAAGGTCTTCTAGTCCAACTCCTTACTCAGGCAGGAAACCCTATACCATTTCAGGTAAATGACTGTTCAATCTCTTCTTAAAAACTTCTAGTATTGGGGCATTTACAACTTCTGGAGGCAGGTTGTTCCACTGATTAACTGTTCTGTCATGAAATTTCTCCTTAGTTATAAGATGCTTCTCTCCTTGATTAGTTTCCACCCATTGCTTCTTGTCCTGCCCTCAGGTGCTTCGGGGAATAGGTTGACCCCCTCTTCCTTGTGGCAGCCCCTTAGATGTTGGAACACTGCTATCATGTCACCCCTAATCCTTCTTTTCATTAAACTAGACTTACCCAATTCCAGTAACTGTTCTTTATATGTTTCTGGGCAACTAATTGAACTACTTAAATAATTACCCTGTATTTCCAGAAATATTGAAAACGCATTCTATTTCTATTTTTTTACTGTTTGCAAAAGAGTACAAGGACAGGTGAGCTGGACAGATTCTACAGAAAGTATAGTCCTTGACTTACAGCCATTTAATGACCATTCTTAGTTATCACTGCATTGAAAAACGTGACTTAGACTTCTGGTTTGAGCTTCTTCGGCAACAGACCGAAACCGCAACTCTGCGCGGTTTCGATCCATGCTCGCCGCTGGAGCACCCCGAGCTGGCTGGTTTCGGGGCTAAGCCACCCCGTAGAGGTGGTGAAGAGGGGGGAGACTGCCTGCAGGGTTGAGGAGAGCCGCATCTCTCCTCCTCAGCTGGCCATTACTCCCTTTCCCGAAGGCAGTTGCAGCGGTGGTCAGAAATGGCCACCCCAAAGAAAAACTCGACTGGAGAAGAATGTGCAGGAGGAAGATAAGAAGAGAAAGTTTTGGTTGACCGGGTCAAACAGCAAAAGCAATAAATAAGGTACCATGGAATAAAAAAAATAATAACACTGTTCCCAAAGAAGATTTTCAAGCAGTGAAGGAGAGAGAAAAGGGAAAGGATTTGGTTTTTTTTCTCTCCTCTTCCTTTCCCTATACTGACAGCTAAGAGACTTAAGCAAGAAATTGAAAAAAAAAATCCACTTTGACATCAATAGGCATTTAAGCTGAAAATAAAATGTCAAAGGGATAATAAAGATTTCTGGATATTTAAAAGCTTTTGAAAACAGGAAAGGAGAGAAAAAGAATAAAAGGGGAGGATCTGGAAGGGAGGAGACTGCCTGGAATTAAAAAGAACTTACAGTAAAATCTCAACAAGACTTCTAAAAGATACATTTTAACTGAAACATGGCAACAAAATAGTAAAACCTCAGGAAGAGAAAGTGAAAAAAGAAGTAAGAAGAAACAGCTCGGGAGTATTTGGATTACTTGGTGACTTCTGGATTTTTGGTTACTGCATTTGAATGACTAAAATCAATCAGGTGGTTGTTTAAAAGTGTTTAAAATGGCACCACTTTTAGAAGAACTGAAAACGGAACTTAAAAAGTACAAAGAAGATGCACAAGAAGGGAGAGGTTCTTTTGGCTTCGGATTTCAATTCTTAGAAATGGAGATTTGGAACTATGAGAAACAACAAGAAGCCTGCAGAACAAGAAGACCGGGACAAAGAAGAAGCCATCTTTAATGAACAAGTAATTTTATGTGGGGGAAAAAAGGAAAAGGGGGAAAAAGAATGAAAAGTTTAAGATTTGGAAAAACAACCCCAAAAAGAATAGTTTGAAAAATAAGTATAAAATTAGAAAGCAACAGAAGAGGGAAATGCAGAAGAGAGAATTAGAAGTAGAGAGACAAGGGGGTAAAAGGGGGAGGGAGAAGAAGAGAGGGAAGAAAGAAAGGAAAAGAAGTTATAAAGGACAGAAACAAGATACAGGGCCTATTTAGAGATAATGGGTGAAAATCTAATTGAAAAAGAGATTCTGCAAAGGTACATAAGATAGTATTGTTATATTAGAAATAGAAATAATTTCAGAAAATATGAAACAATGTATGATCAAAATGATGGATAAAATAGTTATTGTAATTTAGTGGAATGTTTGTTAATAAATAAATGTAATAAAAGGAATATTTAATGATTTATAAAACATAAGTGAAGAGAAATAGGGGAAAAATTAATTATGGAAAGATTATATGTATCCCCAAGGATGTATGATATTTAATTGAAAAGAAATGTTAAAGATGTTAAGACTTTAATGAATATTAATGATAGAACTGAATTGGAATGGAATGAGGGTTTTAAGTACATATATTTATAATCCTTTTTTTTAAGAATATAGTGTGTATTTTAAGAATGTACCAAGCAGAATTCGATTGGAAGTTATGTATTATGTATTATATTGAATGTTATAACATTGTATACATTGAAGTTTAAATAAGAGAAAATTAAAAGAGGGGAAAAACTATATAGAAAATGCAAAATAGTAATAAGATATGGAATAGAACACAAAAATGAGCATGAAATTGAGTTTGTGTCTGTATAAAGAAGTGTAACCCGGGACCATGCTATTTTCAAAAAAGATGTTTTACTTGTATTTTGTGTGTGTGAAAACCCAAATGAAACTTTATTAAAAAAAAAAAAGAAAAACGTGACTTACGACTGGCCTCGCACTTACAACTATCATAGAATCCCTATGACCATAGGAGCAAAATTTGGATACTTGGAAAGCAGCATGTATTTATGTTGGTTGCAGCATCTTGGGGGGTCATGTGATCACCATTTGCGATCTTTCCAGCCAGCTTTTGACAAGCAAAGTCAATGGGGAAACTGGATTCGCTTAATAACCATGTGATTCATTTAGCAACTTCCGTAATTTGCTTTTTTTTTTAAAAGCAATTTTATTTGGGATTTCACAAAACAAAAAGAAGAAAGAACATCTTTTTTTTTAGTGAACAGCATGGTTCCAGGTTTTCACATCCATACAGATATAATTTCAGTTACATATTAATCTTTCATATTCCATTTCTTATCACTACTTTATATATTCTCTATTTATTTCAAATACCTCCCTCGGGCTTATTTTATAGTTTTCCCATTCATTTCCAGATCTATTTCATTTTCTTTTCAAAATGTCTATATCTTCATGGTCATTATACTTATACCTTTATCTGTCCTGTTTACAATTTCACTACATATTCTTATATCATCATTTTCCCCCCAAAGAAACCACAATTACTCCACATTTCAAATGTTACAAAGCAAGGGTTTCCTTATAATTACCATTTAGAGTGTGTCACCTTCATATCTTAAGATTATTTCCCTTTCAAATCCCATTAAACATTCAACTTTTAAATTATCCCCTTAAACAATTATAACAATCAACTATATTATAATATAAATCCCTTTTCAATCAGATTCCTCAAGGTACTTCCCCCTTAAATTTCAATTAAAAAAAGAAAATAATTAATCAATTCAAATTCATCCTAGAAACTGATATTAATCTCCTTACAATCCATCTCATAATTCAATTATATTTTATAGATCATTAATTTACATTAATATTCATATTTTAACTCCAGTAATTTGCTTAATAACCATTGAAAAAATGTTGTAAAATTGGGCGTGACTCACTTTAGAACCACCTTGCTTAGCAATAGTAGTTCCAAATGTGGACGTAAGTCAAGGAATACTTAATAAAAATAGTTTGGAATTGATTGAAGTATTAAGCATGATAAGGGTGAGTTAGGTAGAGTAGTTCAAGATAATTTTACTTTATTGGCCATATCCAACAAATATAGGCACACACACACACACATACACACACACACTTAATTTGGAAGAGTTTCTGAAGGAATCATTGACGCCAGGGTATTTGTTCCATCTTGTTTTTTTCAATGTTTCTACCTTGCAGAAAAAAATAGCACTAAAAATAGAATGTGTTTTCAATCTTTCTGGCAATATGGGATAGTTATTTAAGTAGATCAATTAGGTGCCCAGTAATAAACTTAACAGGTAATCTAATTTAGGTCTTCTTAGATTCCTGGGACCTTTAACTTTTCCATGCCTATTTTAATGAACCCAAAAAAACCTTCCATCATCAAAAGTCAATAATTAATTCAGAACATTTGCAGCAAGGAAGAGATTATCAAGGAGATTTTTCTTCCATCAAAATTCAACACATTAATTGGGATACATTTTTTGAGGACATTATTTATAAACAAATAATAAATACTTATGCGAATAAGGATTAAAGCACAGAAAAACAATGGTTAGATTATGTCAATTTTTCAATTGGATTTAGTAACTGCATAGCAAATAGATGCCTTATTACAATAACTTTTCAATAAGCTTTTCAGTTAAAAACAGAACAAATGGATGACATAACTGTGGTTCTTTTCAGTAAGGTGTCCTTTTTTCCCCTCCCGGTAAAATTAATTTTACCATTCAGCAGCTATCCTGTTCTCCCACTTTTAGCATTTCTCTGTCAATACTACATATTTTGTTGGTTCACCAGTACTGCTAGTTTGCATTTATAGAAGCAAAATTGAACAGATATTTCTGAATGTATGCAAAATCAAGGATATAATGCAGAACTTTTGCCTTTTGAGCTTTGTAAAAATGCTGCTTTGAGATTTTAAAAAAGGGGGGTGCAGTACACTCCCACTTAATACAGTAATGAAAACCTGTTCATTACTTCCAAGTATTTACAAATTAAATATTTTGCTGTGTTTTCAGATTGCAGCTGGCAAGTTAAAGCAAATGACAGCGCTTTCTATGAGCAACCCCAATTTAAGGAAACAAGATTCCTTTGTATTCAGAAAAGTAAATATGCGGTAGGTAAACACCTCTATATGTACCGGTAATAGTTTCTTTCCAATAGTTCTTAAGCCTCTCATCGAAAGAGAAATCTTAATTGATTAATTGTTTGAATTTTTGTACAGTCATGGATTCATTAGTCCAGACTTTCTGAAAGTAGCACTTTCTAGATATATTTGAGTGCAGTTCTTACTCTAGTGTATTTAGCCACTTTGTCTAGCATATTTCCGGGAGAACAAACAGAGAAATTGGATTCCTTGGTTAAGCTTATCTTCATTTTCATGTAGTATTCATGCATTGCAGCTGGCATTTAACATAGTTAAAGAGCCTAGTGGTTGCTGCACTGGAGTTTCCATCAATCCTAAGATTGCTGTTTTCTGTTTCATTCTCAAATAAGAACTTGTCAAAAAAAAAAAAAAAACACCTTTGCAGTTTGAATTACTTAATTATTTTCTAAATGCCATTAACTTTTTTTGTGCCAGAGAATTCAATTTGGCCTTTTGGAAGCTGCACTTTCAAAGTTGGTGTTTAGAGCTAAATTGGAGGTGATTTCCTTGCATTTTAGTTTAATTAAAATTAATGAAATAACTCATACATTGACATGGAATTTAGCAGAGGAAGAAAAGCAACATATCTACCAAATAATAAGATTTAACATCATGGTAAAAAGGTTCCATAGGTGGGTATATATTTGAGAAAGAAACAATAGACTCCCATGTAAAAATATTACTCAGGGATTTAGAAAAATGTACAGGTTTTTTTTAATATGGAGAAAGTTAAAATTGTCTTGATTAAGAAGAAATCTTCCAAGGTTTGATTTTCTGTTCCAAATGCTTTTATTAAAAATAAAAAACAAGGTATTAAATTCCCAATGTTGAGACTAGTTTGTTGATTGAAACTGTTAAGAGTAGCAATAGCAATAGCACTTAGACTTATATACCACTTCACAGCGGTTTACAGCCCTCTCTAAATAGTTTGCAGGGTCAGCCTATTGCCCTCAACAATCTGGGCCCTCATTTTACCCACCTCAGAAGGATGGAAGGCTGAGTCATTCTGAGCAAATGGAGCAGCAGAGTTTATGAAAATTCCTTTGTATACTTAAAAAACCTCAACACTTCACAAAAGTAATGATTGTAGAGAATATTTATGAAATCCATTTATGAAATAAGCCAGGAATGGGGGTTGCTTAGGGTTCCCAAGGCAGCTTTCCAATATTTGATCAAGTGGGAAAAGCTTGATCCCTTCAATGCCTTTTTAAAGTGGGTTTTATTTTTATTTTTTTATGTGGAATAGTATGTGGTGGCATAAGACTTTTTGCAAAACATTAAAATCCCGAAGACTGTTTCAGAATAGTCTGGTTTGTGTAATACACTTGCATATCAAATCACTTTGGTTAATAAAGTTTTATTTAAAGTACAAAATGAATTTATATGATTTCTATATTAATGCTTTAACTAAAGTGATTTTTTTTTGTCTTCCACAGGGGAACGCCATCAAAACCTACAAGTATAACCCAATTACCTTTCTGCCATTGAATTTGTATGAACAGTTTAAAAGAATTGCCAATTTCTATTTTCTTATTCTACTTATTTTACAGGTATAATAAATGTTGACATTTATTATGGAGTAAGCAAGCCCCCTTTATAGTCAATTTTAGAGTTGCAGATTGACTCAGTATACATCTACCACCAGTGTAAAATGGATGACAATCTGGGAGACTGGATTCTAGGACTTTGTGGTTTTAACCGCATGAGGGAAGTTCTTGACTAAAGAGGCATTTTCCACGTTCAGTGGGAAATGCTAATTTTCAGAAAACAAATTGCGTGTAGCAACATCGGAATGTGTAGCAACCTGATCCTAATTTCCTTGTTCAGCTTATAGACAGACACACACCTTAGCCCCTGAGGGCATGTGCAATAATGGAGCATTTTTGTGTTAATACCAAAAATCAGTACTTCCTGCTAGGGAAAGGAGTTTTCTTGCTTCACCGCTGTTAACCTTTGTTAAATATTGTGCAAAAATAAATGAAGAGTATTTCTGACTCAAAACCGTATGGATACACTATGTTTCAATGAAAGTATTTCTATGTAATTGTGCAGTACTTAAATTTGATCTATTTGGGATAATCTTTATTGTGTAACCATGCATTTAAACTTACTAAATCTAAGAATTGTGAGCAAAATGTCTGGTTCAGAGGCAGTATTCTCAACCTGATTTAGGACACGATTCATTACTAGTAGTCCTTGACTTATGATCACAATTGAGACCAAAATTTGCATTGCTAAACAAGGAGGCTTTTAAGTGAGTTGCACCCAATTTTAAAGCTTTTTTTGGCCAGGTTTTTAAGTGAATCACACCAGAGGTGATATTGAGCAGGTTCTGACCAGTTCTGGAGAACCCGTAGCAGAAATTTTGAGTAGTTCGGAGAACCCGCAACTACCATCTCTGACTGGAGATTTTACAGCATCCTTCCTTTGCCATGCTCACCAAGCCACACCCACAGAACCGATAGTAAAAAAAATTGAATCCCACCACTGAATCCCACGCTGTTAAGCAAATCCAGCTTTCCCCATTGACTTTGCTTGTCAAAAGCCATCTGGGGAAGTTGCAAATAGTGATCACATGACCCCAGGAACCTGCAATCATCATAAATAGGTGTATGTGGGTTGCTAAGTGCTTGAATTTTGATCACATGACTGTGGATTGGTGACAGTTTCTTTCCCAAACCCCAAAAACTTTAACCTTAGACTGTCTACTATTGACCTCACCCCTTTCCTAAGAGGTATGTAGGGGGCATGCTTAAGCGCACCAAAGTGCCTACCGTCCCTGTCCTATTGTTTCTTTTTTTCTTATTCGTATCCATTTCATGTATTCATAACCATGTTTACACTTATACCTGTTATCTAATAATCACTTGACAAAATAAATAAATAAAACAAAATAAACAGTTGTAAGTGTGAGGACAGTCGTAATTGACCTTTTTTGGGTGCCATTGGAACTTCAAACAGTTATTAAACAAGTGGTTTTAAATTGAGGAGGAATAAGAGGAATAGCATAATCTGCCATCAGGAATCTATCTAAAATACATAAATGACTTGGGATATCTATGTGGTGCCTTACAAAAATAATTAACTGAAGGGTTTTGTTCTTTTCACTGCAGACAATTCCTCAGATAACAACTCTGTCTTGGTATACTACATTGGTTCCGTTACTCCTGGTCTTGGGTATCACTGCAGTTAAAGATCTAGTGGACGATATTGTAAGAATGTTTCTCCTTTGCTATTCACTTAAAAAAAACTATTAAGAGCGATTAAATTAAAGTAAATTAAATTTAAAAAAGGAAAGGCATGACTTTACTTCTCAAAAGAGCCAGTTTGGTTGTAGTGGTTAAGGTGCTGGCTTAGAAACCAGGAGACTGAGAGTTCTAGTCCCACTTTAGGAGTGCAAGACGGCTAGGTGGGTTTCGGTCAGTCATTCCCTCATACCCTGATTCACTCAGAAGGTTGTTGTTTTTGTGGAGAAAATAGGAGGAGGAAGGAGTATTAGATTTGTTCACTGTCTTGAGTTACTTATAAAGTAATAAAGGTGGGATAAAAACAAGAAAAATAGATAATTATCTTTTGCAATTATTATGTGGGTACCTTCCTGATAAGCAATTATTTAATTGCCTGAATTATTATTATTTCTGCTTATGGTCCTCTGAAATATTTGATGCCTTATCCCCATCCAACAAAAGTAGGAAGAGATCTTGTGGGAGAAGTGATATTTTCAATATTATGATCATTATTACAACTTCTTCATGTTAAAATAATGAGAGTCTTTTTAATCTTGTTTCATTTATTTCTCCTTTTAGGCACGCCATCGGATGGACAATGAAATTAACAATCGAACATGTGATGTAATCAAGGGCAAGAGGTACTACAGTGATATATGTGTGTGTGTGTGTGTGTGTGTTTGTGTGTGTGTGTGTGTGTGTGTGTTTTCATAGATTTTCACGGGTACAGGTATGCAGGTCTTGGCGTGTTTGGGTCTTTTCCTGTGTAAGATTGAGAGCATCTTGGTAACGTTTCAACGAGGTCCCACTCGCCATCTTCAGGCTGGTGCTTTCGGCTTCGTGCTTGTGTCTATCATGTGTGGCAGCTGGTGATGCAGCCGTGGTCTGGTTTCTGGATGGTGGTTGTCTTTCGTCTATGGGATGGGTTTGGGTTTGATTCTGGTGAGGGAGAATGGTGGTGGTGTCATGTGTTGTTTTGGGTCCGGTGTTGGTTTTCATGGCTGGGACTCATTTGTTGGTGAGGGCTAGTTTCCAGATGTCTGGTAGGCGGGAGGCATCGTCCCGTTTATTCGTGTTATGGGGGTGTTTCTCTATTTCAATGGCTTCCCTGATTATTCTCTTGTTGAAGTGTTCAGTATTGGAGATTAATTTGGTTCCCTCAAAACCAACACCGGACCCAAAACAACACATGACACCACCACCATTCTCCCTCACCAGACTCAAACCCAAACCCATCCCATAGACGAAAGACAACCACTGTCCAGAAACCAGACTACGGCTCCATCACCAGCTGCCACACACCCTAACCCCCAAACCAAGCAAACGGACACATGCCATGAACACATATCCAGGCCTCAAACTCAGAGCCAAACCAAAACCCGGAACGTCACATCACAGCCACCCGCTCAGGATATCACATCATAGAACTCAGGAGGTTATACCACAAAACCTCAGGATGTTACAACACAGCCAACAACCCAGGAGATTACAGCACAAGACCCAGGATGTTACAACAATAGAACTCAGAAGGTTATCACACAGCCCATGACCCAGGTCACTACGACCCAGGAGGCTGATACACACACAGGGTATTTTCCCACGTCATTATAGTTGTGGGAACACAATACAGAAGCCTGATGATGGCAGATAAGATTCTGCCAAAACTTTGCTACAACTTTAAAAGCACAACTATAATGACGTGGGAAAATACCCGAACAAAGCTGAATACCATATGTATATATATATATATGTGTGTGTGTGTGTGTGTGTGTATTTCTTAAGTTTTCGCGGGTACTTACATGTATGGCATTCAGCTTTGTTCGGGTATTTTCCCACGTCATAGTAGTTGTGCTTTTAAAGTTGTAGCAACGTTTCGGCAGAATCTCATCTGGCATCATCAGGCTTCTGTATAGTGTTCATCTGTGAGTCAGACTTTTACAGTGGTTTCAGATTTAAATTTGGGGCAGCCTATTGCTGTGCCAGAATGGTTTTTTTCTTCATCCTGATTGGTTGGGAGTCTTGGTCTGTGTTTATTGGTCTTGGAGTTTGCTGTGTTTTGCTTGATTGGTGTTTCTAATATCTTCTGTCTGTTTTTTGGCTCTTTTTGTATCTTGATTGGCTGGCAACATTGTGTTACTTTATTGGAGGCCTTTAGTGCAGCTTGGCTCCGGGTAAATGGATGGCTATCGTTAGTTAGGAAGCTAGGTTTCATTTGGGTGTCTGGTTGGGGTGTGTTTGAGCTGGAGGTATGAGGGGGGATCTGTTTGTGCCCAGGTGTTTGCCTGGCTGTGGTGTGGAGATTTTTTTGTTTGTGAGTGCAGGCTTCCAAATGATTGACAGTCTGGTGGAATCATCTCTTCTATTCATGCTTTCTGGTCTTTTTTCAATCTCTATGGCTTCTCTGATGATTCTGTGGCTGGGGTTTTCTATAGTGGCTAGGGTTTTGGTGCCATTGAAGTTGATGCTATGACCTGTGGCTTCCATGTGTTGGACTAGTGAGGAAGTGTGTTCCAGCTTTTTGACTGCATTTTTGTGTTCCTCCAGGCGGGTACTTATTCTTCTATTGGTCTGTCCAATGTATGTGGCCGGGCATGATGCACAGGGGACTTCGTATATGCCTTGGTTTTATGCCCCTGTGCCCCTGTGCATCATGCCCGGCCACATACATTGGTGTGTTGGGCTGGTTGGCTGCGCTGCTGCCTCTTGATTGGTTGATGGAGTTGATGTTGGTATAATGGGCTGTGTGATGGCCTTGTGAGTTTTGTTGTGGAGATATCCTGGATCTTGTGTTGTAATCTCCTGGGTTGTTTGTTTTGTAGTGATCTTTTTTCCATTAGCCTCTTGTGTTTTAACAGCTTGGGTAATGGGTTGTGTGATGGGCTTGTGAGTTCTTTTGTGGTATCCTGGGTCCTGCGTTGTTATCTCCTGGGTCGTTTGTGTTTTGATCTCTTTTCCATTAGCCCCCTGTGTAGTAACAGCTTGGGTAATGGGTTGTGTGATGACCTTGTGAGATTTATTGCTGTGGTATCCTTCGTCTTGTGCTGTGATATCCTGGGTCATTTGCTGTGTTGCAACTTCTTGAGTTCTTGTGGTGTAATTTCCTGGGTTTTCTGATGTGATATCCTGAGCGGGTGGCTGTGATGTAGCATTCTGGGTTTTAGTCTGGCTTCAAGTTTGGGGTCTGGGTCTGTGTTCTTGGTGTGTGTCAGCTTGTTTGTTTTTGGGGTCGGGGGGTGCGACAGCTGGCGAAGCAGCCGTGGTCTGTTTTCTGGATGGTGGTTGTCCTTCGTTTATAGGATGGGCTTGGGCCTGGATCTGATGAGGGGGATTGGCGGTGGTGTCCTGTGTTGTTTTGGGTCTGGTGTTGGTTTTCGTGGCTGGGACTCGTTTGTTGGTGAGGGCTAGCTTCCAGATGTCTGGTAGGTGGGAGGTATCATCCCATCTATTCATGTTATGGGGGTGTTTCTCTATCTCGATGGCTTCCCTGATTATTCTCTTGCTGGAGTGTTCAGTGTTGGATATTAGTTTGGTTCCTTCGAAATTAATTTCATGTCCTGTGGCTTTAAGGTGCTGGAAAAGGGAGGAAGTATTTTCTTTTCTTCTGACTGCGTTTTTGTGTTCTGCGATGTGTGCATTTATTCTCCTGTTGGTTTGTCCAGTGTGTGTGTGTGTGTGTGTGTGTGTGTGTGTGTGTGTTTTCTACATTTGCAATGGTTATTAACTTGGGAAGGGGAGGCAGGAAAAATGAAGGTACCCTGGGCACACATGCTAACTTCCCAGTTAGTGAAACATTTCTTTATTGTCTCTTTCTCATAATCCATTTGAAACAGAATACTTTATTCTGCTGTAGAATCAGCTACCAAGGATTTTGTATATTATTCACAATTCAAGTGTAGGATTATATTCATGATATTTGAAGTTGTTAAATGTTTCATTTCTGTCTATCATGCAAATATTTGATTCTCAGATTCAGGCAAATTTCTGAACCTGATTTCTGAAATTAAAAGATTGCTTCATTTAACCAACAGCACTGGTTTTGTACAAACACACCATTACTTTTAGCTTTCAATCTGGTTTGATTTAATTTGAATTGATTTGGAAGTTTAGACTGGATCAGTGTTTTAAATCTGATCAGCTTAATTTGAATTGAACTAGTAATCTGACTTGAATCCAGTTTGTAAAAGTCTTATGTTTACATAGCAGTGAATTTGTGTCAGTCATTAGATAATTTTCAGCCTCGTGGATAACAACTAAATAAACAGTTTCCCTGAATGTTGCATAGCTGAATGATTTTAATGTCATTTTTTTTGAAGTAATAAATTGAAGAAGAGAAATCAAGATCCAATCTGGATCGGTCAGGTGGGACCAGAAAACTCTTCCAAGTTTTCAGATTCGTGCTGGAGCCCATCTTCAGGGAATTTCTCTCTACTGGAATATGTGCTTTGGGCTATTCTGTGCTTTGTATTTATGTGGTGCCTTCCTATTGGTTGACTGGTGTGTTGACGGCTGGCGATTGACTGTTGTTTCCTTGTGCTGCGAAGCCCTCAGCTCGTAAGTACTTGATAAACTGGTGGTCAAGCATGAAGCCAGGGAAACAGACCCCTTGTCAATTAACAGGAGTGCTGATTTACCACCAACTTATCAAGTACTTAGGAGCCTAGGGCTTGTCAACGTGAGGAAACAACACCCAATCGCCAGCCATCAACACAGCAATCAACCAATAGATATGACTCACAGAATCTTGCAACATTATCCTGTGACACGTATATTTGCCTTTGTTCATAAGAAAAATAAATCAATTATATTTTAAACCAATATCTATAATCCTGTACATTTAGATGTATGTAAGGCCAAATGTTTTTTAACTTTCTGTAATAAGAAGGAGGTCAATATTTAAATGAGAAAGAGAACATGAAATTTAGAAATAATAAACTATAATCATTTCTTTTCACACGTCTTGTATTATGCAAAATGGCACAGTGATGCTCGCTGCTGAAAAATATTGTCCCCTGAATCATAAATACAGTGTTCAGTATACAGGCTAAATATTTAAAAGTTTTTATAGGGAAGTTTGTATTATTAATCTATACATTTTTGGAGCAAAATACAGAGGCTTTTCTTTAATAATTATTACATTATAATTTTACTTCTACGTGTATAATGAACACGTTTCTATATGTAAATATCTTGCTACTTAGTTTTCAGAACACAAAATGGAAAGACATTGCAGTTGGTGATATCATCCGTTTGAGGAAAAATGCCTTTGTTCCTGTAAGTACAAAAGCTTTGAATGTGTATAAATCAGGGGTAGGATGCTATCGGTTCTGCCAGGCTCTATAGAACTGGTAGCTCTGAAGAGCAGCAGACACCAAACCGGTTCTGTGCTTACTGCTGTTTGGCCCACCCGCCTGCCCGGGCTCTTACCTTTCCTTTATTTTCTGCTTTTTCAACCTCAGCTGCTTTGCGTGGCATCACTGAGGTTGAAAAAGAAGGAAAAAAGAGTCTTTTCAAACACTGCGCACCCACGCACAGCACTTTTCAGCTGTCTGGGGGGCACAGCTTAAGATTTTTTACATGCACAGCACGCAAAATGTACGTCGCTGAACCGGTAGTAACACCAGTTCAATCCCACCCCTGGTATAAATTTACATTGAAAATTGAAATGTCATGCTTATGTACATTTAATTCATTTTGTTTATTTAACTAGGCTGATATTTTATTGTTGTCCAGTTCAGAACCCAATAGCTTTTGTTACGTAGAAACAGCTGAATTAGATGGGTAAGTCTGTTTATTCTCACTTTCATTCTCCAAACATGCCCAAAATATTGCTTGTGGGCTGTCTTAACAACAGAGTTACATTCTTACAGAAGGAATTTTAGGGGACATATTAAAATATTAAAATATTATATTTTACAATTTTATCTTTTATTCCATTTTGCATGTATAGGACATGGATGAAGCTGAAGTAATGTTGTTAAAATAGTATTGTATATTGTTTGTACATTACAGTTTATTATTGAGAATATACATAGATCTTGCTTTTTATAATTACACATCTAATTCTGTTTGAAGCATATAAAATATAAGTGAGAGAAATATAGCATGACCAATCTGTCAAAATTTATAAATTGTGTTTTTTCTTGTAAATTATGATGAGGCTAGTGCTTATAACTTCTTCTTTTAAAGAAGAAATTTATCACTCTTGTGGTTGAGTTTGTTTGGTTAGCTGTTGCTCTCTAATTTGGTTCAATAGTATAATCACCGCATAAATAACATGAACAGGGTGACACAAACAGCCATAAGCAGCCATTTCCCATTGTGATACAATGACAAAAAAAGAGGAAAATTTTATATGCTGGTTCTATATGCAGTAGTTCCCATTCTCATTCAAAACCTATTTTCATCAAGTCTATTCAGCAAGTTTGTTTTTTAAAAAACTGCTTTATGTTTTATTTTCCTTAGCAAAATGATGTAATTCTGCCAAATAACTATGAACCACCATATTATATCTCTAATCATCCCATGCAACTTACTTGTCTACTTTGTTAATAAAATGCATTCTGTTAATTAGATTTAACGGAGGAAGAAGTAGGAGCAGCTTTTAATCTATTGAGTAATTACTTGGCCATGGGGCCCGTCTAGAAATTGGAATACAATTCATTTTGAGATATCATGCAGGGAAGGCCTATAGATTTTGCCACTGTTACTTTATTCATATTTTAAATAAAATAACCAGAAAAATAGAAAAGACAAAATGTAATCAAAAATAAATAAATGCAGAGTCTTAAGCAAACTTAAAAAAATAACTGAAATCCTTCATTTATCTTATTAAACTTTGACCAATGAAACTTATCTTTTTTTTTTCTCTCTCTCTCTCTCTGCTAGTGAAACCAACTTAAAGTTCAAAATGTCACTGGAAGTAACAGACAGGTGCCTTCAGGAAGAAAGTTCACTTGCAGTATTTGATGGTTTGTTCAAGCATACTTTCCCTTTTTAATCTCTAAATTATCTTTAGAAATTTATCTTCCATCAAATCCGAAGATTTTTATCCAGTCTTTAAGATAAGGAACTTTTTCATTTGTATACCAAAAAAACATTTTAACAAGCTCAATAACCAAGAAAACCCCATTAACATTAGACCTGCTGTTCCTTTTTATTTCTTAGTAGAAGCCATTAAGTTTGAAACATTTTTCCATTACAAAAAGCATATATTGTTTTCTGTGTAGCTACTTAGCTTCTGCATTCTGAGTGTCTCAGTCGTTTGTAAAATTCTCCATAAACTGCTTTATTAGATGAAATTCTGCAAGAGGTGCTTGCATTGAAAGAAAAACTGGTGTGTGTTCCTATTGCACATCATGGAGCGGAAAATATTAAATTTCTGCTAAATCCAATGAGTTGCATCTAACCTCGTGAGAATGCCATGGAATTCATTCCCTGCATTCTTCTCCCAGTAGCCTTCCAGCTGGTCCATGTGGAGGAGAACATTTAAGGGCTCCTCTAAATAGGACGGACATGAACTTTGAATGGTTGGATTGCCCATTCATAGTTGGATTTATTATCTTTGAGAAGAACTCCCATTCCATATAAGATGTCTCCATCTCATTTGGGGAGAGAGTGTCCTTCCTTCTTAATTCCCTATGCTACTGCTGTTTGTAAAAACAGTTCTGAAAGCAAGGATACTTTACACCTTTTATCTTATTAACCATTAGGGGCATTAGATCTCAAGGAAATATTCACTGTTGCTTCCTCGTTGCTCTGGCCTAAAAGACAGATGCATCCTTACAGCTTGGCTCTTACATAAGAAAAATGCTTTACTGTACTTCCTTCTTTTTTCCCTACCATGAGAATAGAAAGCTCGGAGATACGAGTCTTTAATAGCAGACGGTAATTACAGTAATAAACTTAATTGTCATTCTGACCATGATCCTCTGTCTCCAAAGTGGTATATAAGAACTTGGTTCTGCTAAATAGGTTCATACAAATGTTCATACAAATAGGTTGTGCAAAATACAGATTCTAACTAGGATTCTTCAGATTTTGTATGTACGATCCACCCTTTTCCAGAGCCTTCTAAAGTTATAAGCAACGTTTTCAAGAGGCTCTAAAACAGGAGTATCAAATTCAATGCCCGGGGGGAGGGGCGGATCCAGCCCGTGGGTAGCTTAGATCTGGCCTGTGGGGCCACCCTGGAAACAGCAAAGGACTGGCCTGCGGTGCCTCTGCCAGCTAAAATGGAGCTTGGGAAGCCCTCCTGAGCTCTGTTTTCACTGACAGAGGGTTGCAGGAGGCCATCACTGCCAATAATGGAGCTCAGGAGCCCATTTTCACTGGCAGCGTGCTCAGGCCACTACCGGTGCCCCCAACACGAGTGATGTCGAGCAGGCCATGCCCACCCTGGCCCCTCAAGGTCAAACACAACCCTGATGCAGCCTTCAATGAAATTGAGTTTGACAACCCTGTTCTAAAATGTGTATGAAAAGGAGTAATTCCCTGTAATTATTACCGTATGTGTGAAGTACAGGCAGGCTTTGTTTAGTGATTACCTTGTTTAGTGATACAGTTTTGAAGTGATGTCAAAGTAACTTTGACCAATCCTCACATTTATGGCCGCCTTGGAAAAGTTGAAATAAGATCATAAGTAGAGCCACAGTTTCACTTAGCAATCGCTTCGCATAATGACTGAATTGCCAGTCCCAACTATGGTAGCTAAGCAAGGATTACTTGCATTGCATGTCATCTACCGTTCACTTGCCATGTAGAGCAATCTGCCATGAAAATATTTAAGTACAATGTTGTGATCCAGAATCTTTTCTTTCCTCTTGCTGCTCTTTTTTAATAACCATCTAGGCCTGGTAGAGTGTGAAGAGCCCAACAATCGTCTAGATAAATTTACAGGCATCTTGATATGGCGAGGAAAGAGATACGCTTTGGACTCTGATAAAATTTTGTTGCGTGGTTGTAAAATCCGGAACACGGAAGTATGTCATGGACTTGTCATTTTTGCAGGTATCTATCAAATGAATGAAATATCACTTGCTGGCTTTTTTATGTAAAAAGAGATCATTTTTTCACAAATGTATATTCAGTTTTTGCAATGGTGGGATTCAAATTTTTTTACTACCAGTTCTGTGGGCGTGGTTTGGTGAGCATGGTGTGGCTTGGTGGGTGTGGCTTTATGGATGTGGCAGGGGAAGGATACTGTAAAATCTCCATTCCCTCCCTACTCCTGGGGGAAGGTTACTGCAAAATCCCATTCCCTTCTTTCCAGCTCCGTTCTCCTGTGCAGGGCAACAAAAGAAGACCCAGCCAATCAGCTGGGACTCAGGAGGCAGAGAATAGATGGGGGTGGGGCCAGTCAGAGGTGGTATTTGCTGGTTCTCTGAACTACTCAAAATCTCTGCTACCGGTTCTCCAGAACTGATCAGAACCTGCTGAATACCACCACCTCTGAGTTTTTGACATGTTAAGACTACGATAAATAATGCAACATAATATGTTGCCAAAATATTCTTATTATACACCTAAGAAAATAAACGTGTATTGTTAATATGTGTCTGAAAATAATGACATTTACACTGTAGTTTTTATGTGATTTTAGGGGCTGACACAAAAATAATGAAGAACAGTGGGAAAACACGGTTTAAAAGGACCAAAATCGACTCTCTTATGAATTATATGGTGTACACAGTAAGATATTTCAGTTTAGTTTTCCTCTTTGGTATTTAGTTAGAGTTAACAAAAGCTGTAGCACAAAATTGTTTACTGATCTGTTAAAGTCAAATATTTATCATAGTGTCAGGGAAGAAAGCTTCTGGTTTCCTTACAATCAGTCCTGTCAAATAGAATGCAGGACCCATATTTGTAAGGAATGCATCAATACAGATAGTTCTCAACTTACAACCATAACTGGGCATGGAATTATGGCCGTAAATCCTGCCAGTCTTTAAGCAGGTCACCATATTATCACACCCGATTTTATGCCTTTTGTTTTAAAGCAATGATTATTACACAAATTCTGCAGTCAATAAACAAATCCATTTTATGCAATGGGTGTGTTTTTGCCCAAAACTCGAAGTAAATGCCAGAAATCGGCAAAAAAAAAAGCCAAAAATCACTTTCATGTGACCCTGCAAGCATCCATAAAAAGGAGCTGGTTGCCAAGCATTCAGATTGCAACCATGTGCCCAAGGGGACGGTGTGTAGCCATAAAAACTCCACAACCAGATTGTAAGTACCTTGTGGAAGGGCTCTGTTACAACTTTGAACTCTTGCTCAGTGACCAATCAATAAGGGACAGCTACCTCTATATCGATTGATCAGCAGCCTATTTAGCAATAAAATCAAAAAATCAAAATAAAATCCACATCTTCTACATAATGCCTCTTTTTTAATGCAAATAGTGAAGGAAATGGCCAGCTGCTCCTAAAAGGGGAGAAATGGCTCTTGCTGTTATGAAGTTCTTCCTAAAATCTGTTCAACCTATTGATCCTTGTCTTGCTACCTGCAGCAACAGAAATTGGCTCTGTCCTTTTGACAACTCTAAAACTCTTTCCATTGTGACAGCCTAACTCACTTATTGAAAAATTACCAGATTATTACCACTTAACTTTAGACCAGGGGTGTCAAACTCAATTTTATTGAGGGCTGCATCAGGTGGTGTTTGACCTCAGGGGCGGGGGGTGGTGGTAGCCAGGGCATGGCTGGGATGGGCGTGGCCTGCTCGATGTCACACATCGAGGCTCCATTTTTGCCTGCGACGGCCTCCTGCAGTCTTCTGCCAACAAAAACAGAGCTTGGGGAGGCCATGTGAGACCGGCTTTGGCTCTGTTTTTGTTGAAGGAGGGTTGAAGGGGGCTGTCATGGCTAAAAAGGGAGCTTGGGCAGTCTGTGTGCGGCCTCCCAGAGCTCTTATTTTTTGTTGGCAATGGGCTGCAGGAAGCCATCGTGGCCAAAACCGAAGCCTGGGCAGACCGTGTGTGGTCCTCCTGAGCTCCATTTTTGCTGGTACAGGCTTAATGGGCCAGTTCTTCATTGTTTCCAGGCAGGCCCATGGGCCAGGTCTAAGCACCCTGCAGGCCGGATCTGGCCCCCAGGTCTTGAGTTTGACACCTTTGCTTTAGATTTACTTCTTCAAGCTAAGCACGGCCAACTCTTTCAGTAGTTTCTTATAGAATCTGAATAGTGAGTCATGGGAAGCCACTGTGAAGATTATGGATATTTTTAAAAGTACATCTAATTATTTATTTTGTGCATTGTACTATGCAGTTTCTGATCTTATTGTTTGGATTTATATCAAACAAATGCACAAAGTGGTGGCACGTTTATTTTTGATATTAGTTCAGCCTTTGTGCTGCTGAGTTGCCCAAATCATTAGATGTGCTGCGTCTCTTTCTGGGACAGAACATTCTAAACTCATTTGCAATAGCAATGGCCAGATCTGTTTTTCTCCCCTCTTCAAGCACCAGTGTGTGAATCTGAGATTCTTCATGATATCTAGGGGATAGAATATTATTTCATAAGCATGGATTTGGTTGTGTTTACATTTCAGATTTTTGTATTACTCATCCTGGAGTCTGCTGGTCTGGCTATTGGACACACTTACTGGGAACAACAAATTGGCAATTCTTCTTGGTATCTCTATGATGGTGAAGATAATTCCCCTTCATACCGTGGCTTCCTTAACTTTTGGGGCTACATCATTGTGCTTAACACCATGGTTCCCATATCCCTCTATGTGAGGTAAGAAAGACAAGATTACGGTTTGAGTATAAGCTTGAAGTTGTTCTAATAAATCAGAGATTCCAGTTGTTTGGGGGGGGGCAGTAAATATTTATTTTTGGCTAGGATGGCATGGGCAGTCATAAAATACTTAATCTCACCAGTTTGTTTTCTAATAGTTATTATTATTATAGTTATTAGAAAGGAAATTGGTGAAATTGTTCTCTACCACATTTCTCGTCTTTGAGGATGGCCTCTGCCAACCAGCTGACATCTATTTTTCTGGACAAGTGGCTAGACTTCAGATTCTATAAAAATACCTCTGGGAATTTGGGCCTAAAAGTGTTCATGAAAATATGCTTGAGATATTTATTTGTTTAAAAGAATTTTTTAAATAAAGTGTGAGACATGGAGATTGTAAATTTCATCCCACAAAAATTATTTTCCACTCGTTTCTCCCACAAAATATGGAGAGGAGGAAACAGGTTGATGCAGACAAGTATTAAAACTCTTTCCCACAGTATAACATTTACCTAAAAGGAAGGCAACTTTGAATTTAAGAACAATTATAAACACAATGATATCCTTTCATTCTCCTCTTTAGGTTTTTTTTTCCCCCTGAAAGAGAGGAAAGGACACAGAGAGTACATTATCCTATGTCACTGCAGTTGATCCTGAATCTTAATACAGTATTATAGATTCCAGATTCACTGGCTGGACAGGACCGTCTCTTGCATTGATACTTTAATCCAAGGGACTTCAAACTTGGCAAGTTTAAGACTTGTGGACTTCAACTCCCAAAATTCCTGAGCTAACATGACTGAAGGAGGAATTCTGGGAGTTGAAGTCTACAAGTCTTAAAGCTGTCAAGTTTGAAGACCCCTGCATCAATGGAGGTACATCTTATCCTTTAAGCAGGCCTAAGGGATAGTCAACTATCTTGGCTGGGATTGTACAAGATGCTAACCTAAGGAAGATTTAACTTGTTTAATTTTATTTTTAAGTAACCTTTTTAATTAAATGCAAAAAACAAAAAAAATATATACAAAATTATAAAGAAAAGAGGAAAAAGTAAATAAATAAATAAATAACTAAAGATATACAGGGTAAACAAAGATATTCACAGAGACACTTGTGTTAATTTTGTAAATCAAGTCCAAATTTAGCATATTGTACAAATACAGTTACAAGCTGCTGTCTTTATTCTCTTCTTTCTTTGCATATCCAAAATAGTTAAAGAGAAACAGAAAAACGTATCCCTTCTCTGATTAGGATATGGTAATTGGCAGGTTTGTAAATAACAATAGCACTTAGACTTTTATACTGCTTCATCGTGCTTTACAGCCCTCTCTAAGCAGTTTATAGAGTCAGCATATTGCCCCCAACAATCTGGGTCCTCATTTTACTGACCTTAGAAGGATGGAAGTTTGAGTCAACCCTGAGCTGGTGAGAATCAAACTGCTGGCAGTTGGCAGAATTAGCCTGCAATACTGCATTCTAACCACTGCACCACCATGGCTCACTAAATATTAATGTAAGAAACGGGTATTCTGATTTAAAAATTGCTTTGAATTTAGAATACCGGACAGTATTTCTTAGCATTTATAGAATCATAAGAGTTGAAAAGTTGATTATTGACACACATTCTTATTTACTCAGTGCGGGACTCCAGATTGTTCACAGATGGCTGATGAGCCACTACACATATACATATTTGGTAAAGGGGAACTCACCCTGTCTGTCAGGAATTGTCCCCTGGTTTAAAAATGGTATATGTATGAAAATGCATCTATAAAAATTTCACAAAGTCTATAGTTTTCTACAATCCCTTCAGAAATTGCTTGATGCATTGGTCATGTCAAGGTTCCAACTAACGAGCCCAAACAAATAAGAACTCCAAGGTGGGGTTCTTCCTCAAAAGACTTCTTTATTGGGTACATCGTATCAGCACACTTAAATGCAAAACCAACTCTAATTATTCCCCAGGCTTACAGTATAATTAAAATAGCATATGTCCCCAGTCACGTTGTCCAATAAAGTCAATTGGTGGGCTTCTTAGGCACTCCCCTATTTTCATCTGACACCTGCAGGGATGACCTTGGTTCCCATGAGAGGTCTCCAAACTTGACAACTTTTAAGACTTGTGGATTTCAACAGTTGAAGTCCACAAGTCTTAAAGTTGCCAAGTTTGGGGACCCCTGCCACACAGTGTGGCAACTGAAAAGCGTGAAAATGACATAAATCCAATTCAGTTTGAAATTGACAGGTCATCCCTTAGTACTTCTGTAAAAGTCCGCAATTCTTGTTAAATGTTTCTTGTGCACTGAAGTTCTGAAAACTGGATAATCTTTGTGGTTTCTTGCTTTCTAGTGTTGAAGTGATCCGTCTGGGCCAAAGTTATTTTATCAACTGGGACTTGCAGATGTATTATCCAGAGAAAGATACAGCTGCAAAAGCAAGAACTACCACTTTGAATGAACAGCTGGGACAGATCCACTACGTCTTCACAGACAAGACAGGCACACTGACACAGAATATAATGACCTTCAAAAAATGTAGCATAAATGGACAAACCTACGGTAAATCCAGTGTTTATTACAAATGATTGCCAGACATCCACAGTATGGAGAAAAAACCCAAATAATTGATTGCTATGAAAATCATACTGAAAGGATGTTCATCAAATGTTCCTCATCAAACTAAAAAGATCTGAGGATTAAACAAGATGCCACAAGGTTAAGTCCCCCATTCTTCAATATTTTCATTAATGACCTGGTTGATGAGATGGAGGTGATGCTTATCAAATTGGTACATAATAAAAAAAAAATTGTGGAGAATAGCTAATTTCCTGAAAGGTAGAAATTCTGAACTAGATTATCAACCAAGTTGGAGAAATAGGTTGAAAATAACAGTATGAAGTTGGATAGACAAGTGCAACGTTCGTTACTTAGAAATCAATCGCGCAGGTATGGGATATGGGATATCTAGTTAATTAATACTTGTAAAAAAATTGTTGCAATAGTTGATTTCAAGTTAAGTATGAGCCAGAAGTATGATGTGATTGCAAAAAAGGCAAATGTAGTTTTAGAATAAAATCCACAAAATTATAATTTCTAAATTATACATTTCCCTTCTGCTTGGCTTCACTCAAAATCCAGATCAAGCACTGAGTGCAGTGAGTATCTACACCTCAAACAATATTCAAGAAATGAGAATGGGTTCTGAGAAGAACAGAAGAATTGTTCAGGGCTTAGCAAGAAGATCTACCATATTTTCCTGAAAAATAAGACCTAACCAGAAAATAAGACCTAGCATGATTTTTCAGGATACTCCTAATATAAGCCCTACCCAAAAATAAGCCCCAGTTAAGATCATCTGCCACACTGATGCATTTAGTACCATATTTTCCCCAAAATAAGACCTAACTAGAAAATAAGCCCTAATGTGTCTTTTGGAGCAAAAATTAATATAGGACCTGATCTTATTTTCAGGGAAACACAGTATGAAGAGAAATTGAAGGAGCTGTTTATGGTTAGCTGTGATAAAAGACTACAGTGGACAGCTACAGCAGCACTGAAAGGATGTCAATAGAAGTGTTCTCCTGTGCTCCAAAATGCATAACATGGAATAGAAGGCAGATTCCAAATGTTAGGGGAAAGGCAGTGGGCTCCTTTTTATTGGATTGTTGAGTGTTCAAGTGGAAGCATCAGTGTGGGATGCTTATATTTAGATTCCTGAAACAAGCAAAAAGGAAAATTCAAAAGACTCCCAATAGCTCTCCCCACCTCTATGATGCCATGAACTATTCCTTCACTGGTTGGTATGATTCATTTACAAGATTGCCCGCCACAAAGATAAAATAACCTTGGGTGACTGTAATGAAACATTAGGCAAATGAATATTTACAGTATGGCATGACCAGATGGTAACTGTGCAAACAAGAATTTCCCTTTCTCCTGGAAACCCTCGGCAGAAGATTAGGTTGATCTACCAGATATTTTTGGCTATGTCCACATGGAGTTACAGCTTGAAGATGAAACTGCTGATAATCTTGCCTCAGCTGTGCAAATTCCCATCAGGGTCTTTTTCTATGCATCGCTGACTTCCTACGGTATTCTTAGAAGCAGATGGTTGAGGGAGAAAGGTTGAAGGTTCTTCTGATAAAACAAGACAGCGCTTGCACTAGAGTTGATATTTTATTTTGCTTTTCAGGAGACAGCAGGGATAAAACAGGTGAAGAGCACAATCATTTAGAAGTGAGTAATTTCAGCATAAAACTATTTATTTTTTATTTTACTTTTATTTAGTTAATAAATTAATATGCTTCTCACTATCCAAAGTGACTCTCTGCAAATTTGGCAGAATTCCGGGAGAGAGAGTCTATCTCCTGCGTATGTCTTTTACCGCTTCAAAGAGAAGTGTAGAGGGCCAGGCAGGCTTATGCTGTTTCTAATAGGGTAGGGCAGTTATGGCTAACCTTTTTGTCATTGCGTGCCGAAAGTGGATGCATGCAATGCACGCGCAATCCCCCCGTGATCTCCCCACCCTCTGCGCATGCGTGCATGACTCCCCATGCTCCCCCCCTGTGCATGCGCCCTGCCCCCCATGCATGCGCAGCAGATATCTGAATATCAGCTGGCTGGCGGAAGGCACATGCATAGTGGAACTGAGCTGTGGTGATGGCTCATGTGACAGCAGAGATGGCTCTGCATGCCACTTCTGGCAGACATGACATAGGTTCACCATCACGGGGGTAGGCCATGGACTGCACAGGAATATCTTTTTGAACCTTGGATGGTGAGTGGTGATCCATTATCTGTGAGCTAATATTTATGATCCCAGGGACAAACTAGATCACACTTGGAATATATATCACCTTACTCGGTTTACTTGCTTAGAATTTAAGCACTGGATGAATCAATTCCTCATGCGAGACATGAAGAAAATCTGGTCTTTCTGTCTCATTCCCCTTTTCTTCTCAAATTTCCCTCCTTTCTGGAGCCAGTGAAAGTATCTAAAGCAGAGTAAGGAAAAGGTAAAGTTAAAGGCAAAGATTCCCCTTGTACATACGTGCTAGTTATTTCCGGCTCTAGGGGAATGATGCTCATCTCCATTACAAAGCCAAAGAGCCAGCACTGTCTGAAGACGTCTCCATGGTCATGTGGCTGGCATGACTAAACTCCGAAGGTGCACGGAACTCTGTTACCTTCCCACCAGAGTGGTCCCTATTTTTCTACTTGCTTTTGATCTGCTAGGTTGGCAGAAGCTGGGACAAGTAACGGATGGTTATAAAAAGGCAGAAATGGATGGTTACAAAAATGGAAAGAATCAGCTTGTCTCATCTTGCATAACCTGCTTCTGACTGGTGTCAGGACAACAGGTTCCTAAAATTACTGAAAATAAAATTGGAAATAGAGTAAAACAATGCAAATTCAGTTGACCATCTAACTAGCCCTGACAAAAAAATATTTACAAGGATTCAAGGAAGCCATAGATGATGGTGATGATGATGATGATGATTTTGCTACCTGAAATAGGTAGCTTTGTGGGATTGCATATGGCAAATTTAAAATGTGTTATCATATGGAAAATTTGAGCCAGTGCATATTTTTCTATTGGTGGATTATTGATGATTCCCAGTTCAGTAAATCACAGTATAGGTAGGCACTACTTATGTTTTACTTCAGTTGTAAATTAATTAGACTAGGAGCCCTCAGTTGTTTGTGGCTGGTAACCCTGGAGGAATTTTAAGAGGTTATGGCCTTGGGAATCAAATGACCGTCAAGAGCTATTTTTACCAGAAGTACTTTTCTAGTCTCTTACGATACAGGTAGTCTTCAACTTACAATCATTTGTTTAGTGACTGTCCAAAGTTACAAAGCACTGAAAAAAGTTGACTTCTGACTGTTTTTCACACTTACAACCAATGTGGCTTCCCTTATGGTCACTTGATCGAAATTTGGCTACGGCATGTATTTATGATGATTGGCATGTATTTATGATGGTTGCAATGTCCCAGAGTCACCTTTTTTGATTATCTAACAAGCAAAGTCAATGGGAAAGCCAGATTTACTTAACCACTGTGTTATTAACTCAACAACTTCAGTGATTCACTTAACAACCGTGGCAAGAAAGGTCATAAAATGGAGCAAAACTCACATAACCACAGTCTTGCTTAGCAACAGAAATTTTGGACTCAGTTGTGGTTGTAAGTTGACGTCTACCTGTATGATTATCTCAGGGTTCCCTGCCCCTCCCAGTATTTCATTATGAGAAGATGGACATTTACCTTTAAGGCAGTGGTGGATATAAGGGCCTTAATATTCAAAATTAAATATTCTGAAAAGTAAAGAGCAAAGTAAAGAGTTCATTTATCATTTGGTGTTGTAGCATGCGTATGGGAAGATTGGAAACCAGGGGTGCTCTGTTAGGGAATTCGGTCAAGGGATTAGTCATTATTTAAAATAATGCCTATAATTACTATGTTGTATTTTATTATTATTATTTTTTAGCAAGTGGATTTAAGCTGGAATATGTATGCAGATGGAAAACTTAATTTTTACGATCATTACCTGATTGAAAACATTAAAACTAGGAAGGAAACTGAAATTCAGCAATTCTTCCTCCTTCTGGCAATTTGTCATACAGTGATGGTAGATGCTAGTGATGGTAAGTGCTACGTGGCATGATCTGGTATACTCCTACTCCTGTTTCCCCAAAAATAAGACCTAGCATGTTTTTACATGTGCACCTAATATAAGCCCCTACCCCCAAATAAGCCCTACTTAAGAGCCTACGCAGCCACCCACCCTCCTATTCCCTCTGGTTGCTTGCAGTGTCGCAGTCACAAGGTGCGGTGGGGGGTGGAGCCCTGCAGCTAGGCATCCATGCCCTGACACCTACCTCATGGCAGCAGCAGCAGCAACCATGTGCAGCAGGAGCCCGTCTGGCCACAGGCTCACTTCTGCTTGGTTGTGTGTTGGTGCCGCGGCTGTGCCGTGAGGCAGGTGTTGGGACATGGATGGCCTGGCTGCAGAGGCTCTGAGGTAGGCAGTGCCACCTCCTCACCTCGTGGCGGTGAGCCTCCTGCCCTGCCACAAGTAAGCAGAAGTAGTGAGCCTCCCATACATGGGGGGAAAAAATAAGACAACCCTTGAAAATAAGCCTTAGTGCTTATTTTGGGGCCCAAAAAACAATAAGATGGTCTTATTTTCAGAGAAACATGGTATTTAATGTGCGCTGTGCAATGCCAAAGAATCTTATTTGTTTATTCATTTTGAGCTGCTACCCACTTCTTATTTATGATTATGTGCTTAATTTTCGAAGGCTGTTATTTTTCTAAAGTATACATTATTGAAAGGAACATCTAACCTACTATTACAGATATTACATCTGACCTATTATTACAGATATTACTATTACAGATATTACTGTCAGAAATGATCACATGATCATTTGTTGGCCAATATTTGCAGTGCCAAGAAACCATTTTTCTGACATTGGTGCTCAAAGCATTCTACTCCCTCTTATCTCATAATTTTCCAGCTCCTAAACTCTAGTCCATATTAAACAAATTTATCTTGGTTATCAAGTGAATCAGAAGCATGCTTGCTTGCATAAAATCCTTTAATTGCTTCTCAGTCCTGTATGAGGTTTTTCATTCAACTATGATTTTGTTTTTAGTTCAACTGAATGAGAAACAATCATTAATTAGGTTTGGAATAAATCAGATTATTGAACCAACTTCACGATTGGTTTAATGGCAATGAAGATACAGGTGGGCCTCGACTTACACAGTTCATTCAGTGGTCGTTTAAAGTTACAATGGCACTGAAAAAAAGTTGACTTATGACCGTTTTTCACACTTACGACTTTTGCAGTATCCCCATGGTCACATGATCAAAATTTGGATGCTTGACAACTGGTTCATATTTATGATGGTTGCAGTGTCTCGAGATCATGTTGTTCTGGCTCACCTTTCTTCTTTCTCAAAAGATGAAAGAGTACAAACTCACACAAACACAGGCAGGCAAGCTGGCTCGGACTTCACAGAGTTAATTCTTTGGAACTGATAATGTCCTTGGCATTCCAACATGCTCTGCCTGCCAAGTCTGAACTGATAACAAGTAAAAAGCTTCTTACAGAAAATTACAAGGCAGACCACAAGAATCATTCACAACGAAAAACCTGAAGTAAGATTAAGCTTTGTCCCATACAAAGTTCCAGCCGACAACACACCCACTTTTATCCCCTGTGGGGTGTGGCTCAATGACTCAGCTCACTCTCTAACCCTCCCACACCTCCTACGTTGCTGCTCACGTTTCTCCCTACGATGCTGCCAAGGATCAAGCCAACATTCTTCCTCTTGACTCCCTGTCAGGGGCTGCTCCGATACACCTTCCTCCTGATTAATCTCAGGCTGTTTCTCTCAGTTGTCTGATGAAACCTGAGGCATTATCAGGGAGGAAGGCACTGCCAGAGAGGAAGGTCCTGGGGAGGAAGGCATTCCCAGTTCCTCCTCCTCATCTTCCAAGTCCTCTTCCTCTAACGGCACAGGCTCGGGAATCGGAGCCACAACATCGTGTAATCCCCTTTTGCGACCTTCTGACAAGCAAAGTCAATGGGGAAGCCAGATTCACTTAACCAACCGTGTAACTACCTTAACAGTTGCAGTGATTCACTGAACAAATGCCTCACTTAGCAACAGAAATTTTGTGTTGTGATTGTAAGTCGAGGTCTACCTGTGCCCTTTTTGCCATCATACTTGTACAAGCCACATTCCAATGATAGAATATCTTGCCTGAGACTCTGCTAAAATCTGGGGCTCAGAGGTGACTTTAGATCAGGGGTGTCAAACTTGTGGCCTGGATGCATCATGCATTGGCCACGCCAAAGCCCGGTTTAATGAAGGGGGAAAAAGTTGTGATACATCACATGATGATGCCGAGTTGTTGCGAGTTTGACACCCCTGCTCTAGATAGTCCTATATATTATTTTACCAATATGGAAAACATGTGCACAATGAGCCAATCTGCATAAACCTGGTGTAATACACTAGTTAAGATACTGTTTTGGACTGTGGAGAATCATGTAATGTCCTAGCTTGAGAGCTATTGCTCTCATTTAACTCCTACTAGATTAGTCCTTGCTTATCAGTGGAGACCAAGTGGAGCAAGTGGCCAGTTTTAAGTTTCTGGGTGTTACCATAAAGGAGGACCTGACCTAGGATGCTCACATTGCTGCACTGGTCAAAAGGGCCCAGCAGAGATTATACTACCTGAGACTTCAAGAAACAACAATTGAATGAAAAACTGCTGGTAGCCTTCTACTGCTGCACCATAGAGAGTATTTTAATTTATTGCACCTCTGTATGGTTTGCCAATTGCACAGTGGCAGACAGGACAGCACTCCAGAGGATTAACATCATTGCCCAGAAGATCATTGGTTGCCCTCTCCCCTCTTTGGAAGAGCTTTATAGCTCCCGCTGCCTTAAGAAAGTGCAAAACATTCTTAAAGATCCATCTCATCCTGGACACCCTTGTTTTTGAACTATTATCGTCTGGTAGAACAATAAAAAAAACAGCTGCTATCCCAGAGCGGTAGCTATATTGAATTCTACTATATAGTGCAATATTAATGCAATATGAGGGGTTTTCAATTCAATTGTATAGAATGCGAAGGATGTGTGTTTGTGTTTTATTTTTATAATTATAATGTACACTGAAGATGGCATTTAATTTCGTTGTATGAGGTGCAATGACAATAAAGTAAACTAAACTAATTACAGAGTTGTTGCTGGAGAAGATGACCCAAAGGGCAACTCTATTTTTGCCACTTTGAGCTTCCAGGAACAAAGACTGGTGATGATAAATAAGCAAAAGAATGAATATATGCAATAAATAAATACTAGGAATAAGGTAACTGCAGGATCAGTTTGGAAGGCATGTAAAAAATTCTCATTTTTTTTCCTTCAAGGTGAGCTCAACTATCATGCTGCTTCTCCGGACGAGGGGGCATTGGTAACTGCAGCCAGAAACTTTGGTTATGCTTTCCTCTCACGCACGCAAAATACCATTACAATAAGCGAAATGGGAACTGTGAAAACCTATGAAGTGCTTGCCATTTTGGATTTCAACAGTGACAGAAAAAGGATGTCTGTTATCAGTAAGTCAACAGCTTTTTTCCAGTTCTAGAAAAAGGTAATACCACAGAGTTCTATTTCAGGAAGAAAACGCCTCAGCTTGTCTGTCTTAAGAGGAAAATAATTAAAATAGATGCTGTTCTAGTATAACTTCATACCAAATGGTCATATCAGCCTTACTTCTCCCATGCAGTCAAATTCCATGTTACCTAACCTTGGGACCGTGAAGATGGTATCAGCTTAACAGGCTATTCCTCTTGCTCTTCATGTGCTAAGCAAAATAGATGACAAAGTCCCTTAAGGGCAAAGCACTATAGCTGTATAATTTACCATTACTAGGATTAAAATCTTTGGCAACGTGAGACTTTTTCCCTAAGGTTTGATTGTATTTATTCACATCCCAAGGACTTGGAACAACTTAATGTACCCCTCTTCCCTAATTGCCTTAATCAAATTGAGCTCTGTGAATCAGTTAAGGGACTGAGAGCTATTTTTAAAAGAATTGGCAGTGACCAATTCTGTATTTCTGTATTTTCACTGTGGTCTTCCATTGTCTACATGCCAGCCTGCAAGGTAGCCCAACAGGAAGCATGCCTGGGGAACCAATTCTACTTTATTGTAAGGTTACATTAACAGAATCTTGCAAGTCGGAAATTAGATTTCACCCCATCACCTTTACAGCTCAAGAAGCTAGGCAGGGTCCCTTCTTTTGCTATGCCCATACTCCATTTGTGGGCTATGCTGCCTTTTATCCAAACATTCTCCTAGCTGTGGCTCGCCTCTTTCCCCTATTTTCTAAGGTCAATCCCACATGTCGTTATGCTGCTTCCATAATAATTAACATGTTCTGCCCACAAATTGTTGGTGTCCTTTGCAGTGTCACTTGGGCACTTTGAAAAAGTAATTTTTTTACTGATTGACTCACCAATCTCTCCAATGACTTTGAAATGCACCATCTAATCAGTAACTTTTCAGAGTGAGATGAATAGCGTATAAATATAATAAAACTATCAATAAATCAACTCTCCACTCTAGAATAACAATCACTTCATCTCCACTTGCATACTATGCAAAAAGGGAAATAAATCATCTTTTCTTCATTGGTCCTCTACTAAAAAGGGATCAACATGCACCTGATCAATTTTATCCCAACTCCCTTTATTTAGGCTACTGTGGAGAACAATTGTCATAATCTGAAAGAGTCAAAACAGCTCAGATCAATCCAGGTTGCATTTAAAGAGGAATCAGTAAGGTGGTGTATGTTTGCACAATTTATGCAAAAAAAAAAAAAAAAAAAGATCATTGTAAAGTGTTGTTGGTGGTCTCTGCAAAGCTGTCAAACCACTATTCCCCTTAAAGAACCTGTAAACAGAACACCTGAAATTCGGAAGCAGAAGGAAGGAATAATGTCTGCCTATGGAAAAACAGCCTCCCAAACTCTGCAAGGCTTCAATATTTGCAAACTGAAAGGTCATTCTTCCTGCAGCTCAGCTAGAAAATAATTGGTTCACTTAATGATGATAATAAAATTCTAGAAATGATTCTAAAGTGTTGCAAAGATTCCTGTTTGGCAATGTTCAAGTGTAAGACTGCATGTATTTTCTGTAAAATATATCTGTTTTAATAACTTAGCTTCAGTAAAGCAACGGTTCCTTTTCCAATTCTTTCTGTTTGCTTTTTGTAGCAAGAGATCCCAATGGGGCCATCAAACTTTATTGCAAAGGAGCCGATACAGTGATTTTTGAACGGCTGCATCCAAGAAATCCTAACAAACAGGATACCGAAGATGCGTTGAATGTAAGTTGGAATATCTTACCAGGATAACTATTAAAACTAGCTACAAACTGAAATTTGTTTCAGTATACAGTAGCATTTTTCTGAGATTGAAGTAGAAAGGCATCTGAGAGTGAAATGGATGGTATTTAAATGTGATGAATTTGATAAATAAAATAAACAAACAGCTGCAATACTAAAAGTCAGGCTCCTGAAGACAATGGATTTTTCTTGTACCAATATGAAATTGCATTGTTTTGATAAGCTTCTTGTTCTTATTTTTTATTGTAGTTGTTAGTATTGATTTTATATTATAGGTCCAAACTAAACATCATTAATATACTTTTTAATTTTTCATAGTTGATTTGCCTGTATGTGCCTCCATTTTTTCCCTTTAGAAGGCATCTAGTATTAATACAAATGAAAATGTCTGACTTTCTTACTCATCTCATGGTATGACTTCTGTAATGCCTTCTATCTAGGAGTGCCCTTAATCTAGAAGCTTCAGCTGGTCCAGGATGCAGTGACACAAGCAGTAATAGATGTGCCTTGGTATGCCGTTTTAACAAACAGCATCACTGTTTGGTTTGGTGGCAGCAATGCCTCAGATAGGAAGTCCATACAGAGAGTGGTAAAGACAACCAAGAAGACTATAGGAAGCTCACCTCCCATTATTCAGGATACTGCTTATAAACGCTATGTGCTTAGAGCTCAGAGCATTGTCAGAGACCCCACACACCCACTTTACAGTCTGTTTCTGTTTCTCCTATGTGGGGGGAAGCTTTGAAATATTTCTAGGAGGACTACTAGATTCTGTAACAGCTTTATAAACTTTTTCTTACCATGTACATTTATACATCCGAACTAGCCTGTGTTGTTTCTCTGTGTCAGATAATATATGTGGATATATGGCTAAATGCATTATTATTTATTTATTTATTCATATTTTTGTCATGTTTATGTAGTGTATATTGGTGACCCTTTTGTGCAACGAAATTTCATTTTAAAGTATGCCAATTAGTATACATTCAAAGTCATTCTAAGTTCTAAATCTAAAACCTTTGCTTCAAATTCACACAGATTGTCAGTTTGTTTCTGAGTACAATTCAAGGTCCTAGAGCCTAGACTAGTCTAGACTTTTTTATTTTAGATATTTTCTCCTGTCTTTATTATTTTTATAAAAAAAACTCAGGATGGTGAACATATCTAATACTTCTTCCTCCCCCTGTTTTCCTGACAACAACAACCCTGTGAGTTGCGTTGGCTTGAGAGAGAGAGCAACTGGCCACCCAGCTTTTATGCCTAAGGCAGGACTAGAACTCACAATCTCCTGATTTCTAGCCTGGTACCTTAGCCATTAGAGTTTAAGTAAATCACCATGGTCATTAAGTGAATCCATGGCATTTAATGATCCCATTGTCCACAATGTGTGTTTTTCCCGGAAACTGGAAATAAATGCCCCTTTTCACAAAAAAACTTTCATAAATAATGGTCACGTGATCACAGGATGCTGCATACAGTCATAAATGCAAGGCAAAATGCAATCACATGACTGGGGGGCAACCATCAGAACTTCAAAATCCAGGTCCAATTGTAATGTTGAATGATTGTTAAGTGACCAGTCTTAAATCAAGGATTATCTGTATATACAGTTCTTCATTTTGATTGTAGTGACCTGCCAGAGGTGTTAAGAGTTGAGTAGCATATAAGTTTGATAAATAATAACGATGATGATTAGAATGAATGAAGATTCTTACATTTCATCCCCAAAGAGAGTAAGTTCAGATGAGAAACAAATACGTTCTTTTTCTCTCTTTGGCAGCTCTTTGCAAATGAAACCCTTCGAACATTGTGCCTTTGCTATAAGGAAATTAGCCATTATGAATATGAAGCATGGGAGAAGAAGTTCATGGCAGCTTCTCTGGCCTCAGGAAACCGGGAGGCAGCTCTTGATAGAGTGTATGAAGACATTGAGCAAAATCTAATTGTAAGTTTGATGGGGACCTGAGATAGGAGGTTTATTCTTTGACCTTCCATTTGACCTTGCAAATGTTTCTTAGGAGGTCTGCCCCACTTATATTTTTTCACCCTGATTTTCCAGTCTACACAATAGTTACAAAAGCACATATATTCTTTTTATTGCTTTATTATTATTTTGAAAGCATGTGAGTAAAGATAATATAAGTAAAAGAAATATATTAAAAGATGCCTGAGAACAGGAAATAAGGCATGAATAATAAAACGCAGGTGTGTAAACGATGGATCCGAGGCATTCATACAAACTTATATATTCCAGTATTAAAGATTATAACTGTCAGGCCCAACCCAAGGACAACATAGAACAATTCAGTCAAAGTTCAGTCCTTTGTTTGTTCACAGCATATAGACAGAATCTTGCCAGACAAAATCTTTATTGCTTTTACCCCAGAGATTCTAGGGAGTGGCTATTCCAACTTTCTTCCTCTGCCTCCTATTCAGCTCAGGGCTGGGCTGCCCAGTGGTGGGATTCCACATTTTTTCCTGCCGATTCTATGACAACATGCTTTGCCCGCGTGTGCAGCACTCTGTATCAGCACTAGTGAGGTGAACTGTTTTTAGCTCAGCTGACGCGTGGCAATCCGCTCTGCCAAGTGAATCAGCTGAGCTAAAAAACAAGGGAGTATAGGACAGGAAAGGGCGGGTGCAAGTGGGTGGAGCCAGCTAGAGGTGGTATCTGCTGGTTCTCCGAACTACTCAAAATTTCCACTACCGGTATGCCAGAACTGGTCCGAACTAACTGAATACCGCCTCTGGTGCTGCCTCTTTTCTTAACCCCTCCTTGAAATGTGCTCCTTCATCCTTTCTGGAAAATGGCCACCACTTCACTACTGGCCCATTACACTATCTTCCCCTTTGTAGACACAATACATCATAATAATATTGTAGAATATTTCATATTCTTTCTCTGTAAAAAAAAAAACCTTCATTTTTATGACCCTCTAATCCCTTAATTTGAGGTAGAGTTGGGGTGAATGGGTGGAGCTGAGCGTTTACTGGCTGGACGCTCTTCCTGATGCCACGCAGAGTTCGTAGCAGATATTTTTTTTCTTTGTGTCTTAGGAGAGAGAAACATCTGCTGCTACCTACTCTCAACCTTCATACAAAATCCAGATATCCCATTCGGGTTTATACATGTTTAATCACTGATGCAACTATAAACTATAATCAGTATGTTAAACAAATACTGGAAGTATAGATCAAATTAAGATATAACTCTTTAATAATAAATTCAAAGGTTGGATGTGGAACAAATCCAAAGTTAGCCTTATGCCCCTAAAATAGTTTCCAATAAATTTACATATTTTCATTGAGGAGTTTTATCCTTCTAGCTAAAGCAACTTTCCCCAACGTGTTTCCTCTAGTAAGTTCTCAGCTTGCATAGATGAATTCTAAGGACTCTGGGTGATATACTCTAACATATTTGAGTGGGAGGGAAACCTGACCTAGAAAAAAAATGTATAAATGTAATGTAAAACCTGAGCCCTAAGACTACCAACTATGGCCATACAGAGGCTGCAGCCCAGAAAGGAAAACAAATGCAAGTGAGATGTTGATTGTCCTTTAGCTCCTCCACTTTTTGGTAGTGAAGGTTAGAGGTAGCATCATATATAGAATGTCAAACTAGGAATAAGAGAAACCTGGATTCAGATCCACATGTAAACATGAAGGTCATTTGATGCTGCTAAGATAGCTGCTGTGTCTTTCTCTCGGGGTAACCTTATTCATGGGATTGTAATCAAATAGTGTTTGGTTGGCATAAAAGAAGAATGTAACATAGGAAGAAAAATCCAGTCTGGTTCCAAGACAGGAGAAAGATGCTGGAAATAAAATGGAGGCTGGCTGGTTGGAAAGAAAGTGTCTGTTTATTTGGTTGCCAGAAATTTCAGTGACAGAAGCATGTTTATAGGGTAGCTGACCAAATGGCTGAGTGAATGGATGGATCTTTATACGGTTCAGATTGAGATGCTCCAGGAAGTTGTGCAATGTAATGAGCCTTGTGTCTTTTGCTTTTCTAATGGTGGTGGTTTAATCCTGTTAAGTCCTAGAGCTCATGTCCTGTTCTTAGAATGTGGGTGGGGGATGTAGATTTTAGGAGTCTGTTTTTCTACTTGGAATCCCTTCTGGGGGAGCTGGGCTGGAGGCGTTTTTGTTTATGAATAGGCTGGCCTGGATTTCTTAATGGGCACAAAATATCCATCTCTAAAAACTTCAGGCATCTGCTGGAGGCTGGTTTACTATGCAGAAAGACTGGAGCTGCTTTCTGCCTTTAAGAATGTGTTCCTCCATTTCTCCTTTAAGGAAATAGTCTATCCTGCCTCTCGTAATATTAAGAATAAAGAATATTTTAATCTGGGGGGGGGGGGGGTTTCCCTAGCAGGGTGTAATAGTGAATATTTTGGTCCTGGATTAGGAGCCCTGGTGGCACAGTGGTTAGAATGCAGCATTACATGCAAACTCTGCCCACATGCTGGAGTTCAATCCTGACAGGGTTCAAGGTTGACTCAGTCTTTCCCCAAATCCCAAAAACTTTAACCTTAGACCAGTGATGGCTAACCTTTTCAGCTTGGTGTGTCGAAAATCGGGAAAAAGTGTAGCCTTCCTCGGGTCGTGTGTCACTTCAAGAAATATCAATAATTTGGTTTATGACGGACTGGGCTGGAGTGATCACACAGGGCTGTGAAACTCGTCTCCCTGGTCTCAGGGCTGCAGGTGCAGGATGTGGGGATCGGAAGGCCACCTTACAGGGCTGTGAACCTCATGGATCTCCTTTCCTCCTGTAGCGTTCCTGAGGTAATGAAACTGACAAACCTCAGTTTATGGCGGTTAAAACTGGTTCTCTGCTGCAAAGATCTTGCGGCAGCGGTGACACCACGCCTCCACGCAACAAGCAGGGAGCAGGGATTGGAACAGAGCACAGGCAGCCTCTAAATGTGCAGGTTTTCCCCACACCAACAGGCGTGTCAGTCAAAGTGCCTCGGCGTGTCACGAGTGACACGTGTGTCATAGGTTAGCCATCACTGCCTTAGACTGTCTACTATTGACCTCACCCCTTTCCTAAGAGGTCTGTCGTGCCTACTGTCCCTGTCCTATTGTTTCTTTCTTTTTTTAAAATTTTTTTTATATGTATCCATGTATTCATAACTATGTTTTTACTTATACCTATTATCTTGTAAGCAATTGACAATAAATAAATAAAATAAAAAGCCTTCCCTCCATCCAAGATCAGTAAAATGAGGATACAGATTGTTGGGGCAATGTTGCAAATAATGTTTATACATTGTAAATTGCCCAGAGAGTCCTATAAAATACCATGGGGTGGTGTAACAGTTTAAATGCTATTGCTATTGCTAAATTCCTATGAAATAGAGACCTCATTAGGGCCAATCACCTTTCTCTCTATCCTATTTCTGGAGATAAAATTAGAGATACCCCCATGTAAGACAACTTGAGTATTAAAAGATAGGGTGGGATGTAAATAATAACTAAATATTATCGAGGTACACTAACATCCATGGTCATATCCTTCAGTTTGTAGTTTTTCTCATGGAATATTAGGATAGCCAATTTTAATATTTTGACAGTTTGTGTGAATGATAAACCATTAATAGCTGAAAGGTACCTACTGTATCCATATTAAATAAACCTCATCCTTTCTTAATCTGCAGCTTTTAGGTGCCACAGCAATAGAAGACAAGTTACAAGATGGGGTGCCAGAAACCATCTCCAAATTGTCAAAAGCAGATATTAAGATCTGGGTTTTGACAGGTGACAAAAAAGGTAATTTGTATAATCAGTTGCTGCTTATTTTCCCCAAGGTAAAATTATCCATGGGCAGCAAATAATTCTAACATTTATTTCTTTTTAATTGATGACTGGATATATTCACCTGCATGCATGGGAAAAAATGAGAAAACAAGCTGTGACTTGGCATTTTCCCCTTACAGAAACTGCGGAAAATATTGGTTATTCCTGTGAACTCTTAACAGATGAAACTAATATCCACTACGGAGAAGACATCAGGTAAATCCATTCTAATGCAAGAGATTACATTAAAAGCTATCTGAATGTTTTGGATTTGATTCTAATAAGTACTTTGGATTCCCCAGGGTGCAATCCTCTGTGTTTGCTGCAAATGTGCAACAACTTTGCGAAGTGACAGATGCATTCTGTATCTTTGTATCTCTAAATATGCTCAGAGAATTACAAGCCAAAGTGACCAGGGGCTGGTTAGATGAGACAAATGGCTAGTTGAACATTCTCTGAGTTGAGAGAATCACTCTGAGGAATGTTGGTATGGAACATTTAATTTCATGTTTTACCAAGTGTCAGAGCAGTAATCAAGTACTCAGGTAATTGGTTCTTTTGGATCCAGAGACAATAAGCGCACCAGTAAATAAAGGGATTTTAAGTTTTATTATTAGCTAAAGCAAATAGATTTAAAAGCATAACATGAAAAGTATGCAAAAGTATGCAAGTCTAAGATGACTTACAAGCTACCAGGAACTACTTAATGACAGTAACAGAAATACCCCAAGGGTGACCAGTCTCCACAGTATCTAATGCTAGATTCTGTGCATAAGCATCCCACAAACAACAACAACCCCATGGTTTTTATCAAAACCTGGCACCAGGACTTCATGTCCCTAATATATAAAATGAGCACAAACTCACACTCTACTAGCTGATGATGTTACCTAGTTTGGTAATGAAACATCTGCAAGAAAACAGACAAGCTCAGAGAGCATCAAGGACCCCACAGTTCAACCTACAATTATACTCCTCTAACAGTAAGAAAAAAATTGTTATGTGATGGATTCCTCCCTCTTTCTTTCCCTTATTAAGAAAACAAGCAGATTAGCTCAAAGTGAGCTCTAAACTTCTAGACATTTCTTAATTCCTCCTGCTTTCCTTTATTAAGTAAACAAGAGTAAAAGAAAACAAGCTGATTAGTTCAAAGTGAACATTAAACTTCTAGACTTGTCTTAATATGAAGGAGAAATCACAACTAAACACGAAATAACAATGGTCTTTCTCGTCACTGTAATTGGGCAAAGAGTCTCCAGGCCTAGCTGTTGAGGTAATTCCCCATTAGGAGAATGAGCGCATACAGGGAGACATATTGAGAGAAGTGTTTGAATAATACACACACAGCACACAGGTACACTGTACAGTAAATGTAGGTTTTTACTTCCAGAAAGTTTAAGCAAAGTTCAAAATAGGCAGTCCAAAGTCATTCACAGGTAAGATCAGTCAGTTTTTAGTCCAGGATTAATCCAATAACAAAATCCAGTTTCAAAAACAGTTCAGTAACAGACTTACATCAAATCCATGAATATCAGTCAATTAGGAAGAACGGAAATACTCTCCAACAGAAGGAAGGAAAAACAGAGACTCACTGAGATACACTCTCTTCTGAGACTAAGACTAAGACAACCCAGGTTTCTGGCTCCATTTTATGGCCGTTTGAGAAACCACACACAATTACAGTTTTGCATTTTCTTAAAGATACAGTATTAAAATGTCTATCCTGGTTTATATATTTCCAACCCAAATAGCTGTTAGGTGACATATTCCTAACACTAGTCATATATCTAATTAAGTGATATTGTGGCAATTGTACAATCTTCATTTACATACTGTTGTTGTTAGTCTCGAAGTCGTGTCCGACCCATCACGACCCCATGGACAACATCCCTCCAGGCCTTCCTGTCCTCTACCATTCCCCGGAGTCCATTGAAGCTCACGCCTACTGCTTCAGTGACTCCATCCGGCCACCTCATTCTCTGTCGTTCCCCTTCTTCTTTTGCCCTCAATCATTCCCAGCATTAAGCTCTTCTCCAGTGAGTCCTTCCTTCTTGTAAGGTGGGCCCAGAATTGTTGTCAAAATGAGATACTATAAATATCTTAGTTGTATTTTGTATTGCTGACTGTGTTTGGGATCGAACAAGATTGCAATGCATTCTTGTGTATTGAAGCCACTTTAATTGACAATCAAAAAATGGTAGCCCATCTTCTTTGGCAAGTTAGAGCAGTACCAGAATAATATATGAGGTTCTTTTCCTACTTTCCATGGCAGATATACTTTTCAAAGTCTTAAAGAAGAAGTTGCTCATATATTGTGGGATGAAAAAGAGGACAGGTAGAATTATCACCTCTCTATTGCTGTTTCTCTGAATCAACTCAACTGTTCATTGTTGATAGGAACCAAAGAAGGCGTGCTGTTTCTGGAAGTTCTTGTTTGGGTGGATAATTTTTTATGATGAAATCCAGAGATTACACAATTAAGCAATTTACTCACCTTGTAACTATCGAAATAGAATAGGGTTCTAGGAAAGCAGCCGTGCCCTCTGAAATACGTTGCACACCTTAAACTGCAAAAAACCATCTGCTAAATCCTCATGATTAAGGGTTTTTAAAGACATACTTGATTCTGTTTTCAGTCACAATGACTTGATGTTTTTTTACATGATGGATTTCTAAAAACATGTTTCCCCTTACCACATTTCCTTAGCGCTCTTTTGCAAACAAGGCTGGAAAACCAGAGGAACCAAAGTGGGGTATATGACAAATCTTCCAATACAGCCAATGAACCCTTTTTCACAGAAGGCAAAAACCAAGCATTAATTATCACTGGATCGTGGCTGGTAAGTAGGAGTCATGGTGGCACAGTGGTTAGAATGCAGTACTGCAGTCTACTTCTACTGACTGCCGGCTGCCTGCAATTTGGCAGTTCAATTCTCATCAGGCTCAAGGTTGACTCAGCTTTCCATCCTTCCGAGGTCGGTAAAATGAGGACCCAGATTGTTGGGGGCAATAATAGGCTGGCTCTATAAGCATCTTAGGGCTGTAAAAAAAACTGTAAAGCAGTATATAAGTCTAAATGCTATTGCTATTGCTAAGTTCTGGGTTCTTACACCTGCTACTTGGGGGTAATAATGGAAAAAGAAAAAGTTTTGCAACTTGTTACCATCAAGATGTGCTGAGTGTTGATCATTTTGGGAAACAGGGGATTTTAAGAACTGCAATTCATCTGGAGAACATCAGGATGAAGAAAAACTGGATAAACGTTTCAGTTCTGGAGATCTGTCAAATTACATGTCTGCCTTAGAGAACCAGCATAATTCCCTCTCCTTGCTCACAAGAAGTTGCGATAGAATTATTAAACTTTTTTTTTTTTAATGAATCAAGGTTGTGCCTTTCATGGCTGCTTGTGTGAAACCAGAATTTGAGATGCTCCCCCACTCCTTTCACTGACTTTTATAAAGGAAAGTAGAAATAATATTGGAAAAATATGAAAGCTTTTAATGAGGGGCTTGTCATTGATTTTGTTTAGCATAAGTTGGGCCCTAAAGAAACCTACTTTTTGGATTCTATTATTACACCCTCCAGCTATAAAGTAGCATTCCTGGAATCAATGGAGTGTTTGTTTCTTGGTCTGAACACAATTAACTTGAAGGGCTGGCAGTTTCATCTATGTGTTTTCACAGTTAGGGCTATTTGTCTAAATTTCCTACTTGCCTTACAGCACCAAAGAATTTTTTTAATTTATTTTATTTATTGATTTGATTTGTCAATCGCTTACAAGATAATAGGTATAAGTATATACATAGTTATAAATACATGAAATGGGTACATATAAGAAAAATAAAAGAAACAATAGGACAGGGATGGTAGGCACATTGGTACGCTTATACACGCCCCCTACAGACCTCTTAGGAAAGGGGTGAGGTCAATAGTAGACAGTCTAAGGTTAAAGTTTTTGGGGTTTGGGGAAGAAACCATAGAGTCAGGCAGAGTATTCCAGACATTGACCACTCTATTGCTGAAATGGTTGGTTTGGATCAGTATCTATGTGTCTGAAACAGAAATATTGTTTACAGAAATAGTCAGGTGGCTCATAAATAATGTATTTGGTAAATGAATTTGTAGAAGTTCGTGAACACAGATGTGTTCATGATGTTTTAGTTATCTTTGGATTGTCATCATTCATAATGCTCACAACTGGTCCATAGATAGGTTTATAGAACACTTCTTTGACTAGAAAAGTTTTAAAAGAAAGAATTAATGTGATTATTAGGTCAAATATTGTTTTGGTTCCAATCCCATGATCTCTTGAAGTCAGTTTTGCTTGTTTTTAAAGACCATTTTTACTAATAACAGACATCTGTCCTTTTGCTACGATTAATTTTTTTTTCATGCCTTTGCATCATGTGTTCCTCTTAGTGAGATGGGCATTAAGAAATATGATGTCTCTATCTCTATCCATCCATCCATCCATCCATCCATCCATCCATCCCTGTCTGTCTGTCTATCTACCTACACATTTATAGAGATGAATCTTTTTGTACAGAATGAAATTCTTCTGGAGAAGAAAACGAGGAAGAAGAAGCTCTTGAAACTGAAATTTCCCAAAACAGTGGAAGAGAAGCAAAGGCATAAGGAGACAAAGCGAAGGATAGACTTGTACAAAGAGCAACAGCAACGAAACTTTGTGGATTTAGCCTGCGAGTGCAATGCTGTGATTTGCTGCCGAGTTACCCCCAAACAGAAAGCCATGGTGGTCGACCTGGTAAAGAGATACAAGAAAGCCATAACCTTGGCTATTGGAGATGGTGCTAATGATGTGAATATGATTAAAAGTAAGTCAGGGGTAACATTTTCTTGTTGTTGTGGGTTTATTGCATATAGTTGAGTTCTGTTTTCCGAAGAAGGTAGGAAGATTTCAATGCATCTTCACACTGAATCAAGGAAC